ACATCACTTTGCGTTTATCATCCGCCTCGGGAAACGCCGAGAGACATGTCGCTGGTTTGTTATATGTGAAATTTACGACATAGCACGTACTCTCACCTTCTATTACCAGGAATCACCTAAAAAGCACAAATCGCGTGAAAATGTAAGCTAACACGCAAATCAAATACGTTTTATGATATTTTACCAATATATATTTCCGATTTGATCATTTTCGTTCATTCTTCGCTTGTGAGTTTTGTCTTTTCAGGCAAATCGCCGCTCTTCACTCTGGTGACAGATACTGCGTGAATTTATCTGTCTGAACGCATTCCGCGAACTAAGCCTAGGCCTAATGACAATGTCAAACGTAAAACTCAATCCTTAACAATAAAATCGTAGAAGTACATGTTTTCGTTGTGATGATGGCAAGCTAGTCAGATATAACTGCCGTCTGCCGATGATGACGGTAACAAACAATGACTATTAATGCAAATAATGTTTCAGTAGTGTTGCATCGTGGCTTTGCGTCTCCTCGGCTGGCCTATTACTATACGACCTCATTCACAGCCGAGTCAGGTGGCAGAAGATGTACGTCTGTCTGGCTGTATGAGAGTGTGAAAGAGAAGTATCTGCCTGAGATACGTGTTGTCAGTATGTCTGTTATATATATGTATGATATACGCGGCCTTTGTCTACCGGCGTGCAATGACGATAGAGCTTAACGACAATAGCCGGAAATTGCATGGCCGACAATTATATACGAAATTAGGAGAAACGGGGGCGTGTAGTCTGTTATCGCGAGCACGTTAAAGGGGGATTTGGTTTGCATGATAGCCAGTGATAAATTTGTTCACACGACGCGCTATAGAGTACTGCGTCATGTTTTACCATTAACACGTGCCAAATGTGCCCCGTCTGAGAGTTGAAAATGTTCGTGGATAACTTCGGCCAAATTCTTTTTGCGGGACTCTTTTCGTGAATGGTAGCATTTGCTAACTACCCACGTCATCGAGATGAGGGCGTGGGATATTTCAGAAGCATTATTGTCGTATGCGTAAGATGTACGTTTTCAAGTGATTTCTGATTTATGTTAGAACACCTGTGTTGAGAATTTTCAACCAACACCAATAGGTGCCTTCTTTTCGAGTAAAGATGGCCGGCTCACAACGCGCAATAACTTTCCTGCCACGTCGACTTTCTCTCTCTCTCTCGTAGTGTCTCGTTCCAAAAATGACGGAGAGGCATCATTTAACAGTGAACAGACTACACGGAAGCGCAGCTACCCCACAATGAGCCAGATGGCTATGCCAAGCCAGTCGCTAAATTGACCTTTATCTTCTTGTCGTGAAGACTTTGCCGGCGTCGATTTCAGGTCTGCGAGAGCCGGCCTGTCTGGACGACTATTCGCTATCTGCAAGTGATCGAATGATGACTGTCCATAGAAAAATGGTTCACGGTAGGTTCCATATTGGGCTTCCATCTACTTTAAACGTTGCTACCAATCGCCGCTCAGGATCGTCATAGAGAGAACTCCACCATGGACGAGTACATATCATTGGGATATTTTTATCGTGTATCTGCATCTGAACGGATGAACAAAAATTTCTCAGCTATCTGCATTTCTGTTCGTGTCATTAGCCTGTTGTCGTCGCGGTTGTCGTTGTGTTTATGCTGGTTTGAAGGCAGCGCGCTCTGGGAATATTTTACTTTTACAACAAATAGAAATGTCAGTGCTATAAAGTAAAGGAGAACCTTTTTGTGATTTAGTTACGCTCTTCGACTATAGTATGCTCAGGTTTGTTAGACAATGCCAATGACCCTCGATGAAGATCACGTTCTGTCAGTGCAATCCAACAGAATCTACGAGAAACATCGTATTCGCTCAAAATAAACATTTCTTTAAGCCGAACGAGTGGAGTGTATAATTGCGAGTGGAGCAAAAGACAGATCACTGTGAATAGAATCAATGGAAGATACAACATTCATATATAACGTGGAAATATTGTAACAGCAGTGAGGCTACCTATCTACGAACAGTCGTCCTAACCTTTTTAGTGCATATTCACAAGTATTGAGATTCAACAACCCATAAAACCGGTAATATATTGAAAGGCACAAGTAAAAAAAAAACAACCGTTTATAAGAACATGCAAAGAAAGCTAAAAAAAAAAGCAGGTAAAAACAATATGAATCTCTAGGGAAATGTGAGGAAACGGTAAACCACAAGTTATAACAATCGTAATAGTCGACTGGCGCTTAGTGGAATAGCAGCGCTTTGGAGCACTCATCGAGCCTCAATGTACCTCACCGAAGCCTCAGACTGTAATATTTCTGTTGAGTCAGGAACAACGAAAGCGTCTTGGAATGGGGAAAAAGTCAGATCGTTCGTAACTCGATTAGGGTGGGAAATACATAACGAAACCACGAAGTGAATGCGAACGAGAGAAGTGTTTTCGAATAAACAGAATTTGTATAAGAAGATCCTCGTTCGAGGATCCGATAGCTTTTTTTATATTATAACTGTCTCAAACTTTTCACCTATCCATGTACATTGGGACACTGAAATTGTTAAGCGCGTATATATATTATTAAAGGAATTGCCTTATATGGAGTTTAGTGGGCTCTACATTATATAAAGCTGTGTTTGTTAGTCTTCTCGGGCAAGAACGAAAATCTTTGCCATTTTCTCGTTTTTGAGTTATTTTTTGCACTAAATAAATACATTAAACGGATTAACTAGATCTCAACATGATGACGCAGTTAACTATTTTCGGCTAAAACTGGTGAGCCAATTTGGAACATATAGGCCGCCGCATTTGCAAGAAAAGCCTTTCCTTCTATTTGTTTTGACGTAGCGCACCGGAACAGTTCCGATGGCACTTGATTTACTGTTCCCTGTTTTTTTCTATAGCGCCGTATTAATCGAGCAAAATTTATCCCACTTGTTACTTTGGGAGACCTACCTCGGGTCATAATGTAGAAGCGTTGATGATTAAACGTGCACAGGCAGCTTTGCTATTCCCACGAATGAATCACAAAAACCAAATGAGACGGGAGTAGGTAGACCTAAAAAGATGGACGAACGATCCTTTGCAGGATCTATCAATTTATCGCTATCACTGGACAAGTGGAAAAGAAGTTTTAGTTCGCCTTGTATATCGCCGGTTCAGCTAAAGGTCAGCAGGGTAAACTAAGAGCTTGAGAAATTAGGGCGATCGATTTTCGGCAAGTGTGCAATGTTGACTCGTTTGTTTATACAAATGATGTTTAGCATCATAGGATCGATATTAAATGCCCCCGTGACGAGAGCAGTTTCAGTATTGGGTCATCTTATTTGATGTGCGTTATCACAATCATAATGGAACCCAGAGTGGGAGCAAGCGTGTCCTCAGTAAAGAAAAACCATCGGTAACATCGAAACTCGAACAGAAGCTTAGCATAGAAGAATCAGCAGCCTTATTGTTGATTGTATTTACGGTGGTACTTGTCCTTGTAACTGTTGGACAACTCGGCTGTTGCCGGCTTCTGTCAAAATCAGATTTATTTCACTGTTGAATTATGGAAAAGTCTAGTTGCAATGTCCCATAGACAAATACACGCATTGTGAGTATGTATTCTTAATTTTTTTTATAGCGGACTTCCTCGTGCGCGATGAAGAACGCCAACCACCTGAGCTGGGTTACAAGAGTCGCCATTAAGAACAGACTGTTTCAACAAAGGCTGTTATGAAAGAAAGACTATTCTTTTTTTGATTCGTATTTTCGCCACCGCCACCTTTCAGCTTAACAACAATAATAATAATCAAAAGAACAGCTGCCATAAGAAATGGCGTAACAGGCAATAAAAATGAGACGGGAGGCTTTGTCTTTCAGGTGAGGCTGTCGAGTGTTCTAATAATCATCATAAGAATAAGGGCGGCACGACTTTTCGGTAGTAGCCATGGAGATTTACATAAAAACAATAATATGATATAATAACGCAATGTAGCGTTGTGTGGCTGAATTACATCAGCCGCTGGCGTTGCGCTCGCGCGAGGGAAGTCTATTCTTGGACTTTGTGCTTAATTGACCTATAGTATGGCATTAATAACGCTTCTAAGAAAAGCACTACAGTCATTTTTGCTCGTCGTTGTCTATCTCGGAAGGTGTTGACTGCTGTTACTGGCGTTACTAGAGGGGCAATTAGCGGGTGAAATATTTACATTTGGCTTTTTCATTTCTAGAAGAATGTGTGTGCTCACGACGTTTACCGTTCGTGCGTTTGTTAATAGATCAATGGACAACGAAAGTTCAATTAGAGGTTGAAAGATCAACATATATCTATATATATATATATATATACACAAATCAATGCTTCGATCAGCTAATCACCATGGCTAACGACAAGGCCATGGCTTTTCGAGAATAGTACCAAGTTTATTGGCTATTTGATTTTTCTACAGGACTTGAAGCCTCTGGCGGTAATGTCTACGGCGATGAATAATGTTTTTATTTGCTAAAATATAGGGAGACGGGTTTGTCATGATGCTTTTACACGTACAGCGAAGCCTTTCAATATGTTTTCCGAGGCACTAGAGCCGTCACGTGCTTTAAACACGTTCACGTTGGCAGCCCCCAATCAATATCTACTTTACATGGAAACTTCCAGCACGTTTGCCGAAGTGGAATTGCGAACATTGAAAACACTACGCACTCGGTCGCTATAATCCCGATAGGCCAAAAATGTCTCGTGGTTCATGGGCAAGGACGTTCGTTCATAGCTATTCGCTATATGTGTACGGAGAAGACACATTTTCCTTTCGTTGTCTCTCACAGTAGCAGTAGCTAATTGTTCGGGCAACAGACGAAGCTGGTCGCCGAGTGCCGCGAATGATATGAGATTATTATTATGAAAATTTCAGTGTTGAAGAATAGCAGTGATATAAATGAAGCTCTATGTATCTAGTCGTCTGCGTTTTGTCCATTTCGTGTAATATAGTGTTCCATTTTCACGTTTCCTTTGTGAGTGAACATTTAGTTCCCTGGAGTGATAGTGAAGATTCCGACGCATTCAGCCGCTTGATAGTTCTTCGCTCTCTCATCTGTATGAGTAGTAATGTGAAGATGCATATTCAGCTCGACGCGCATGCTATTGTTACCGACATCACTGCTACATGCGGTTAAATTTCGAACGAAAAAAACCAAAATGACATCGACATTCAGTGAAAACAATTTTTTTTCTACAGACACCGTTTATTAAAATTTGCCCTCTACTAATAGATCAGCTTGTGGCTGATTTTTTTTTTTGCAAGCAACTTTCCCTTTCAACAATTAGTGTCAAACATTGGCCATAGTAACGTAGATTTAAAAATCTACTTGTACATAAATTGACTATAATAAAATACTCGAGGTATCGTGACACGTGAAAAGTACACTGTTCACTTGGTCGGCCATGTCCTTGTTCTCCTGCTCTTGCCCTAATGATTATCGACGCTTGAAGACAATGCATTTTAGAAATCATCCAACAATTACATCGGTATGTAACAATTTAATGTAATTATGAAGATCTTATGCCATTTGAACAGCAACACCACTTTGGGTTTATGGGAAAAAGAGCAAAGCCGCAATAAGATACTTTAATTTAAGGCGTGGTACCTCCCGTAATCATTAGCAGCAACTGTGAGAAAGCTGATACGATATATTTCCTTTTACTAAGTTACTATGTTTCTATAGATAGAAAGCTAGACTCAAACATGTTCCTCTAAAAACAGGATGCCCTGCCCTTAATGTTGAAGGATCCATCTTTTTTTTTAGCCTACACATAGAATTTTACATTTGAGCAGTGCCCAGATCTCACTGTTGGTTAATAAAACTTTGTGGTGTAGAACTAAAGAAGAAACGACACCAAAGCTAGGCGCATCTTCTCGTCATTTCGTCAACGAATTTGACATTGAAATTACAGAATTTCCAAAATAACGCCATTAAAACTAAGTCATAGTCATAAGCTTTTCGGTTATTTTTTGCGATCGGCGAGCAGATATTGGATGCTTGTACAAATATGAAAGTGTCGGGAAAAAATCACTGCGAATTGTTAGATCCTCTAGGTTCCATGCCCTTTTTTTTTCTTTCAACTATCGTGCTTTTCCTTTCTAGCTTTTTCTTTTCCCTTTACCCCATCATTCAGCTATCGCACTTTATTACACTGCCGGTTATCGCGTATACGTTTTAATTGCCTCATTTTTTAACAGACATTTCCTACAGCTCATTAATAAGTTTTGGGACTTCAAACCGAGTCAGATAGATAGCTGCGAACAATAGACATCCAGTCGCCGAAAAGCCATTTTGGCTGTTTCGCACGACACCTGAATGAGTCATGCGTCACATCAAGATCCGACGACCACGAGTTCCGTGTAAACATTGTGACCACGACGAATATCTTGTAGACGCCCGACTTTTCTAGTTCTACAAGCAGCGTCTGATTATTTTGTTGACGCGTCCTAACGGAAGCCTTGCCAATCTGTTCTCGCCTTAATTATGTGCTTTTTGCACTCCGTCTGATTAGATACTTTTCAAATGATGTCTACAGTTGAGTAACTGCATCATCTAATTCTACAGTCTGGCCGATGTCCACATTTCACTATTAATTGTCTCTATAGACGTTTACATCAGACCGAGTTGGCGAAGATCGTGTATATAAAAAATGAGGCAAACAGTAACTACAAATGAGCGAGGTATTAGCCGTAGGATTTGCACTAGCGACAAGATGTCGTATTAACGGAACTTTATCGGCTTGGTGATAGGCGTAATGGATGACCGCATACGGATCCATAAGATAGAACGCAGTTAACATGCGAAACATAGAGGGAGTGAGATGAAAAAAGAGAAGACAACGTTCCAATTGGGCTCGTTAAAGGGGCAATGAAGTTGTGGGACCATGTATAATTTATGTGATAATCGGGGAAACAATGTTACTGAGGTATAGGTAGGCAAAAACGCAAGCTCGATTCGCTGCTGTGAATACGATTATTGCCGCAGTGGCGTTCCACATGATCTGTTAATTAGGATTTTGAACGAAAAAACGTCAGCTAGCGAATCTTTGATAAATAATCCTATTATGGAGCCCAGACTGACGCTAGAATAGCACAGTAAACATGAAGATGAAACCATCGAAACGAACAGCAGTGCCTTATACATCGCTGTTTGTGGTAGAGCTTGAAGTATAGACAAACCCGTGAGTTAAACTCGGGGAAGTAGTCTTGGAGTAAATACAGATAGCGAGTCTGGCGGAAGTCGTCGAAAACAAGCATCTTCTTTTCCTTGTCAAATATTACCTGTTAAAAGTTAATATAATGATAATTAGTATTTCTGATTTTACAAAGCTTAAATATTTTACTATATTTAGCAGTAAAATATCTTACACAATCATCCTGATTAGCCCAACGTTATTTAGCGAAGACTACAGATAGAGGACCTTCGGATTACAGTAACTTATATATATTACATATTTTTTAATAGCATAGACTATTTTTAGCAGGACGAGTAGTAAAATATTAACTACTAAATATTTTTCTCTGCCGACTCTTGGCCAGGATTACCTCATAGGTTATGGCCCTTAAGACTCTCTCGACGCTCTTACGAAAGTCGTGTGGTACGCGCGCTCGGCGTTTTCGTTATATGTTTTATCAGCTGACATTGACAACGTTTCCCCTTCTAGGAGACGTCTGTCCTTCTTTCATTGGCCTACTGGCAGTCTGATTAGGCTGGAGATCGTGCCCGCGCCTTTGGTGGCCTTCGAGTTACTCTCTCGCTTTTGCGTCCTTCAGCTTTCTTCACCGTGGATAGATTTTTGACTCGTAGACGAAAATCTCGCGGCAGGTCAAATTTCGTAAATGATCTAAGAATGTTTGAAGCGTATGCCCAGATTCGAACATAATAATCTGCTTTATGGTCATCCAGCCTTCACAAATTACCAGGAAAAAAACGCTTATCACAAGAATCTATCTACTCAAATTAAGTTAATCCTAAAATTATGGTGGTGTTGGTGTCATAACTAGATTCGTAGCATGGGAACGTAATTGAAAAAGACGTTTCGTATTTTATTGAACATCATCCATCTGATACGTATTTACTTTGACCTGTTGATATCTTATTTAAACAGATTATAGTTTTTAGCGAAAATATTTTTTGGCCAAATATTAATAAAGTTCCTGTACTCTCATGTAACAATAGTGCTGAGGTACTCCAGGTTTGCTTTTGCTAGACCATTGTCTTCTTTGTCCAGACCATAATGTTTGGGTCGTAAAAAATAAGCCTGCCCTTTTTTAGTTACGTCTGTTTGAAGAATCTAAAGTTGAACTATCTAAGAAGCCCAGACCTCAGCACCGCAGCTGTTAGAACTTCGCTACCAAAAAAAGTGCGAAAAGATATGGTAGTAGGAGGATTCTACCAAGTCATCATTTGAATTGGACCTCTGTGGTCTCTTACAGCTTTCGTGCGCTCGATAACGACCATCTACTCCACCCCCACCTTCTCCGGTTTATACTTTTGCCATGTTTGAAACGTGCGGACAAGTATATCGCAGTCTTTGCGAACTGACAGAATGAGGCATCACTTGTTTTCCTCCAGCTGTTGTAACTGCGATTTTGCAGTTACCGCCCCCGCCACGCCTGCTTAACGCAAGCGTAAGTCAGTACACATGCGGGCGCAAGTGAAAGTAAGCCTATAGCAAGAGCGGCCGTAACTGCCAGTGCTGCTGTGCAAGGGTCGATGTTTCGATTCGGCAAATTCATGCAGCGGCATGGGTGGCGTAAACTGAAGATGCTGCCGAAACAGCTGGGGCTGCCGCTGCCGTTATTAAATGTGCCGCGCTCTGCCCAGATCTTTCTGCTCCCTGTCCAGAGAGGAGAGCATGGCCCAGTGGTAAGTGGAGTTGGTTGCGTCTCTTGGGGCGGGCATCATGGCAAGCGTGCGTAGGTGGTAAATTATAAAACAAACCTGCAACACCCATAGTATTTGGCGTCACTTATCCTGCAGGCTAGAAGCGACAGGTATCTGAAAAACAAGAATTATATAGCGAACCGTTTTCCCTTTGTGAAACCATTCGTAAGCACGTTATACAACACGTAGACAAAGCACTATGCTGATCTGTACCGTATAGTTGGCAAACGCATGCTATCTACGAGCTGAGTTCTGTGATTTTGGCTACGTTCATCACAACACTTCGGAGTGTATAAGCCTACTGCGCGGACTCCTATTCTCACCATCGTGGAACTGCTGGAAAAGTACCAAGATCTGCACGCAGAGGTCTTCTGATACTGGTTTTGGTGATTGCGTGTCTGTGCACAGTTAGCTGTCATATTGCGCTTGTGCTTTAGAGAGCTTCGTCGGTATCGTCTGTGGACGGTGCCACCTAAGAACGCCAAGCTGGAATACAATTGCATCAGCGTCCTTTACGAACTCAAGATGAGAATCGACAACCGGTATGTTTCATATGTACGATATTTAAAAGTTTTGCAGCTGAGAACGTCCGGCTCAAGCATCAGCCAACGTGATAAGCCCCTGCATAACGTCTACAGACGTTTTGTATTCGAAATGTAATGCCGTTTTACCAGGTTCAGTCCGGTGGCTATCTTTACTTGCGTGTGTCTTCTTTTCATTTTTACAAATGCCGAGTTGTTTGAAACAAGTGCTTTATGTGTTTACTTACACTTAAGATAGACATACTAATGAATCAACTTAATAGCTGTTAATAGCTGTCAGAACGAAAGGGTTCTGAGACGCGGCAAAGGAGTACGGACCGCCAAACAATTTGAGGATTCGACGACGCAGTTCTGAAAACGTACTTAAAGTCACCGATGAACGTTCGTAGCACGTATGCCTCGCCGATCATAAGAGATAAAGGGGAGCGATGCCCCGTTTAATGACGAGTAATTCAGAAAAAACTTATCCTCGATAGAAGAAAGCGCGTGCGACTCTCGTACATCAACTATTCGAAGAAAAGCTGGAGTTTTTTTTTCTTTGTTATAGTAGTATTCAGTTATAGAGCGACTGCGGACACCGACACGCTACGGAAAAGCGATGTTTACCACAGCGCCTTTTTAATATCATGTCCTTTGACAGGTAGATGGGACTACATTGACAACTTTATACATAGACTGTATCTCAACTATCGAGCAAATATCGACGCTAAGCTTTCTTAGCACTGGAATAAGGTTCTATATAGGCAAATTTGTTAATCAAGTAAAGAACTATACAGTAAATAATTACGCTATATTTTTTTTATTATTGTTTTTTCTCTTAACACAAGTTGTTTATATAGTGCTCTCATTTCACTGTACACGTATCCGTTTTGAACTAGTTGAATTACAATCACATCGTGTAAGTGACCTATGGTCCTGGAATATCCCTCTGTGATACCCAGACATTTATCGTATAAATTGCAAAATTTTGAGATATCGTTTTTTACAAAAACGTCCTTTGTGTTGTTATAAAAAATCAAAGTCTCTCATGTCTGACCACGCGTCGTCGTCGACCAGCGCGAAAGAAGACCCCAAACGCGCTCTAAACATTTGGCAGAATAGTTATTTGTTTTATTATTAAAAAATTAAACCAGCCGGGCCGGTATCATGGACAGCAGTACAATGGCATGGTCACTATAATAGTGATCTTGTTTTGTCGCTTATTGCAACGAGGTGCTCCACCTCGAAGCTTCACTGGATTTTTTTTTGTTCGACGCAAAGTATAACATCATTGCAGTTTGTCATTGAAGTTATTTTTGTGGGCCATAATGTTGTTTCATGTGCTTGTATTAACTTTGTCAGAAACCCAGTGAATCTACGTAAATGAATAGAAAAAAAGTTTTTTTCAGTGGTATTTTAGTTAGCTTTCATGTACCGTGTCATAAGTACGTGAAAATATACGTATCGAATGAGGTAGCTAAGCTAAATCACTATCTAATGAACACACTTTCGACGTATGGTTACCTGCATAGTGACAGACGTATAAAATAAAACGCTTTAAATGTCTACAACAAAACAATTTTCATTAATTTGTCCGCTTAATGGCCTTAACTAATTTCTATATTATAGTATAGTAGTCTGTGTCATTTGTATCGGTCCATATGACTATGCTTGTTTTTGTTGTATGAAGAAACTTCACGACGAATGATAGTTGGTGTAGTGTTATAGTTATTACTGCACCTCTTTTTAGGGCCTTATGCCATCTATGAAATTCGTCTTCACATTGTAGCTATTACAAACGAGCCCGCTTGTCTATTTGTTCCTTATAGAGGCCATCGGCTTTATCCTATTTCACTTTTTGTGGATTGATTTGATGCTATACCCTTTACACAGAACGGACGCCCTGTTCTAATTTGAAAGCGTTTCTCACGTTGAAGCTTTGCTGGGTTTTAGGAAAGAAACATCTGTTTTTTTATGGACGGGCTTAATAAATCGCAAACTGCTGGGAGCAACCAGGTTGTCCATTGATAATGTAGCGCTTACGTACTTATACAAAGAGATAGTGTTTTTTCAAATCTGACCCTACCGCGGCTATGTGTCATTATCTGTATCTAGTTATTTCTAGTTCTTTATTTTATGATGTGTTTACGCCCCACCAGGACATTCGGACATTTCGCTATAGTTTGCTTGACTGGGCTCGAGTGTGGGACTGTTCACCTGTCCGCAGACAAATAAAACCGTATACTGATGTAGAGCACAGTAGTAGGCTTGAAATCGTTATCCTCTTTATTTCTTTCTTCGAGGCCTGGAACCGCGTCGCAACATTGCTTCAGATTTCTCAAAGCGTGGGAGTAAAAGGGAAAAATTTTTCCGCGTTACATATTTCCTGACGCTTCTTTTCATGCCAACTTTTTTTCACCGCTTCAAGTTCCTCTTTTTTGCGCATAATGGGTTTAGAAACAAATCGTTCTTTTTACTCTACATTTTTGTAAATCCACGCATATCATCATGTCATGTCCTTAACCGTGGTCCAAAATGTGGCTTGCGTGCTCCTCTTGGAGAGTTTCACATGCATCTGGCGCATTATGTCATGTTGAGTTTTCCCTGCCTTAGGTATGTAGGCTTAACTCGCTTCTAGTCAACACCTGTGTAGTGTGGTTAGTGGCACCGTTATCATTATACAAGGCTCACAGACCGGACAGGTATAAGGGACCTTGTTCAACTTTGCGCTCTATCATCTATCGTCCTTGATTGCGACTGTCTCCTTTGGAACTTGTGAATCGACAAATCTATATTGTTCTCCATACTTTCTGTTGCTGGAAAATTCCACGCTAGCATTTCCGCGAGCGTCTAAAAGATACTCCTATACGCTAATCTAATTGCTATCGTTGTTCGTGCGATAAGGACGGCCTTCCCGCCTCTCTGTTCATCTAGGACAATATTCGTTTATACAGGAGCAGCATACAATGCTACAGGATCTGCCGCCGGCGCTAGGAGGTGTCTTGTATTTTCTGTCATTCTAGGAATAAGTCGCTTTAAGTTAGTGCAATACGGGAGCGAGGTACTTCGGTACTTTGAATAGCCGTAGTGATGGTAGCAGTACCTATTATAGATAGCAGTGAAAGGCTGGTTACGGTGGTAACGAAACGATTAATTTGCGCCGGTCTACTGGATATCATCGCTAAGATGCCAAATGACCGGGGTGCATCAAGAACGGAAGAGATAGAGAAAGAGTTAGATAGTTAATCACAAAGTACGTCGACAATGAAAAATTCGAAACCGATTGATAGAAAACATACCAGCCCAATGAAAATTAACTTTTTCAAGTCCAAAAACATTGAAGCATAGTATCTATCGGAGGTAACGAAACGGATCTATTCTAAAAGAACAATAATAATGTTCTTCTCCTTATAATTAGTGAAATTATTATTATTTTCGCGCATCTTCAATGCCCTTGCATGTAAATGCCAGTAATACATTATTAGTACGGTATGCCAGACCGTCATATATATATGTATATATGCATATATATTTTTATCCGTGTTTTTTACTTAATTGACGTACATATTACCCTTGCATGCAGGATAACTGCAAAGGCTCTGAAAAGCCGGTGGCACTGCCTTCGTCTTTTCATTTAGATATAACGATTATAGGAAACTCGAACTGGAGAAACGCTGCAATAAAGCTCGTCTTGAAAACTCGCAGCGTCAGCAGAACACTTTTGGATAGTACACCATTGGCACAAGCACAATTCTGAAAAATAGCGACAATCATCCGGCCAGTTCCTCTGTGTGTAGAGGTATTGCTAGCCACTCGTATGAAGCTTTGTGATCATACCTGCAACATCCGTAGTATTTGTTTCCGTTTTAAACAGCGAGTGCCTACAAGTCGACTAACGAAGCGGTAAAGGAGATGGGTACCTTCGCGAGGTGCCCACGCGCGGAAGGGAGAAGCAAGCCGAACAGCCGCGTGGCTGTAACAAGTACAACAGTTAGAACGTGTTTCAATGAGAAACACAGTCAGAGGATTGGCTACTGATTATCCCATTGTTGTTCGACGCTACCGCTGATTCCGCCGCGATACGAAACCGACATCGACAAAAGAAAGAAACTGATAAGTCCGAACGTGGACGTTCGCACGCTACCGGGCAATCATAGCGATGCATGGGCAGCTAACTAGCGAGAAGTTCTAGCCGCTGTCTTCACCTTCACATATGTGTAGCATAGAAATTATATCTAAATATACCCTACGGATAGGTGGTAGTCGTAGTGTGGTTACTACGGAACGAGATGAACGTTGTCTGCTACGCGATAAATGTAGCGGAAGTAAAAGACACGTTGATTTAATAGAACTTCTCGCAAGTATAACATTACTTTTCAGACATGAGTAGTTAATATATCGCAACTAGTGAGTATATTTTGTTTTATGGTGCCGAACACCGATATGTAATATCAGTAGGGCGTAGAGTGGTGGGGGGGGGATGTAAGAGGTTGATGGGGCTACGAATGTTAACTAAAGTGCGACAAAAGGTGCTATCGCAACAACGATGTCATGAATCGAAGACCAGTCGTGTCTTTTTTTTCACCACATTCTAAACAACGAAGGAGTTTTCCTCATACCCTGGTTTGCAGCTTCAAAAATCACATACCCACTGTTTCTGAATGAAAAATCAGTAAACAGCCTTGCCCGCATCGAACGGAAGGCGCAACATTTCAGATGGCTTGTATAGTTCGTTATGTGCCAGCAGTAGATTAGGGAGACGAATCGTTGCTGAGCAGAACCACATAGGAATACACGTAATTCACTTTGGCATCATATGTATACATTCAATCATACCATTAGTAGGCAGCAAAGGTACATACTCTACGGTGGTTTCCTTTTGACCACGCTGCCCCGATTACATATCATGGAATCGACAGCTGGTGATAACGATAACAGCAAACCAACAATAAAACGAAAGTCCTGAAGGGATGAAGCGCCCTATGTTTCCTTCACAACATTACGGCCCGACGATTTTAAGTCGGTTGTAGCTTAAAAAATTCCTCTTTTACAACAGTAGTCATGTGCGTATTCTCTCTGATGGTCCTCAATTATATTCAAGTCGGAAGGCAAACTGATGGGGCAAACGGTGCCAGCAGTAACCATCGTGCGATAATTTACCTATTTTGGATCGGATTAGTTTCGTACTACAGGAAGTCTAAGGCCATATCATAGTGCTGCTGGTAGATGGGTGTCTTCGTGGAATCACTGCGTAGAGATTTCATTAAATCGACTACTGATGCGCTAATCAGAAGAGCATCAGGCTGTGTTCTAAAGTTATACGATCTTCTTAGGTCGTACAATCAATCGATCGATCGGCTAATGGTGGCAATTGATCTTGACGTGTAAGACCTAAATGAACTATTTTGGGTACAGTTATAATTGATTGAGTCAGCGATAACTATTTAACTTGGTATTATCAGTTTTGTCAAAACGCTGTTAGGGATGCTGTTTCCAGAAGAACTTTTCGATATTAAAATATGCAAAAGGTAAACAAAATGTTAGAAAAAAATGGCAAACAAATTATTCGCAAGTTATTTCCCTTTTCTAAATCTTTTTAACGATTCCAAACGCGGTTCCAAATACATGAACTGGCATCTGTGACCAATTGTATGAACGTCAGCGACTCTGTCTCAAAATGTGCCTCTCGTAAAGCCGTATAGTTAATCGTAAAAAAGGACAAGCCGGAAAATCTTTCAGAACTTCCAAAGAAACTGCGAGTAACTTTGAAACGTCAGGAATCGGCGTTCCTGCTTTGCCGTTTGCACCCAAGTTTTCAATTTTTGTAGATCTGTTGCTATATAACTCAGTTTGCTACGTGAACCAAATAAAATAACCTGTAGTTATGCAGGTGGACAGCCGTAAGCCAAACCACGTTATAGTAACTTAAGTTAAGAACAAAGAAAGCCACTGTTATGTTTTATTACTAACTTTTTACATTTTTTTGATATTGTTAAACTGTTAGGTGTGATAAACATCATCTTAACTATATGACTAATAGGTAAAATATGTATATAAGGTATATAATGTAAAGAGCGCTCGTTTTTGTATGTGCTCGAATACTACCACTACGGCCCGCCCATCTTAGGCTGTGTCCTCTTTTTGCTGCTACCGTATACGGAGCATCGATAAGTTAATCCAACTTATGATTAATTATAGAAACTATAGTTATTTAATAATAGAATCGAACAGTCGATCATCATTTTGTCTACAGCCATTATTGTAGCTGACCGAAGCAAAGACTTCAATGCAAATTATAGAGTAGAAGTAGAGGTGATTAAAAAACGAAAATTCTTATTCAGATTAAAAATCGAAATCGGTTAGTTGATCGGTAGCTGCTAGCATTTTGTCCTGCTCCATCGCTAGTACAACTCCATCGTCCGCAGAAGGCCACTCAGGCTTTTCGTCTACGCGGCTCATGGGGAATTTCAATTCCATTTTGTCGAGCGCAATTCGCTGACGTTCGTGCGCGACAGTGAGTCGCAGCTGTTTATGAACCAGAATTTTGTTGAGCAGACACGAGCATAACATATATATGTATATAGTAGCACCGCTCTAGTTAGCTAATAGCAGCAGTCGTAGTGGGGAGGCGCGGGGGGTAAACACAGCTGCGTCAAATCCCATACGTAAGTTCTATTGGAGCTGTTGCTGAGTTTTCGATGAGAAAAAAATTATCTTTCAAACACACGGCAGCTCTTCTAAAATATCTCCGGCAGCTGCTGAGGCGTGTACGGACAGCAACGGCAGTGTTTACCAACGCCCAGCTGAAATCCTCGCTGGTCATCTTCCTTCTATTGTTTCACCTCGTAAGTTTGTCCAATAAAAATGGTAATGAACGTCACAGCCTAACAAGCTTTCCTTGTTACGTTCACGCAGAAAAGCAGAAGGGGATTTGGCCCGGTTCCTTCCGTTCTTCGTTCGTCCTGGAAGACGAAGCCCGAGGCGTCGGCCGGTTCATCTATGCCGGTGGTTCGCCCTTTCTCATGTTTTATTGGCCTGTTCAGTATGACCCGGCGCCTCACAGGTAACTATGAACGAGTCTGGCCCTCTCATGCCAGTCGACTGTTGCCTGCAAGCCGACTGAACGGACGGAAGTGAGTTAATGCCGACATTTTTTTTGGGCTTATTGTCTCGCTATCCGGCACCGAATAGAACTATGTATCTCTCGCTGCTTGTTAATTTGGCTGCCGTCGTTGAGCTGCTTTTCACTCTGGGACCCACGAAGTGCAAGCGACTCGGTGCGTTGCATGTTGGCTTCTTCGGGCGCTCCATCAAGCGGTCGACCAACATTGCCACTAATGCTTCCTGTAGCTTCTAGCGAAAAGAGCGGCAATAACTTCTTCTTCTTGAGCTAACATCATCTAGCAAATACCAAAGTAAAAACAAGAAACAACAAAATTCATGCTTTTCTCTTCGTTTTGTCTGGCGCCGACGCCACCGCCGATTCTCTCGGTTACTACTAACTCTGCTTTGGCTCTCCATTGCTGACGCAGGCGTCAGTGGGTGCAGGCGTAAACAGCAGCGTCTCGACATGCGCCGCTTCTCGATAGCAGCGACGGCAGTCAGGCTATAAACGGTTCTGCTCAGCGCTATTACTACGAGATCTTCAAGCGTCTGGGTAATAGCTTTTTATTGGACGCTACAAAGTCAGCCGCTTCTTGATGTAGGCGCTACTGCGTAAGCATCAGTTAGTCAGTCTACTGGTCAGCCAACCACCAGACAATCAGTTGTGATCAGACATTCTCCAGGTCCACACCATCGGCACCTTTCGCTTGCTGTTACCTCTGTTTTGCGCACCTTCGAACCCCCGCTCTGAGTGAGGTCGCACTTGCGAAACCAAGAACAGCACATCGCCGTTGAAATTGGCGACAATCGTTTAACTCCGATGTTCAACTTAACGGCCGCTACACCTTTGCCTTTACCTGACGTATAGATCCTGCAGCAGTAGTAGCATTAAGATAGTTGGCTACGGTACTAGTGAGAGAGCCCACGACTGACGCCAGCTACTCAAGGTGCACGTGAGTGCGGGGTGTCCAACTAACCACTGTCAATAACCACGTGATTTACCAGATCCTGTGAGGCCTGCCAGCTTGTTTGGGTTCGGACGCGTGTCAGTGAGAAGTGGACAACGTCTAAGCATCGGTGATCCTTGTTATATGAGTGTTTAAAGCCAGACAGGCGAAAGGCTGGTCAAAGTAGCGGTTTTCGTTTCCAGATACCGAGAGAAAGAGCAATCGTCGGTGGCTGTAGCTGGTTGCGCGGTGTTATACAAAACGATCAGCCGTGCTTAACGCACGCATGCGTGTATTGTGTGCAAGGCTTTATTAGTCGAAGATAGTTGAGCACATCATTTAGACATGGTCGTAGCTGGTCAGGAAGGCAATCATCGCCTCAACAATTGCGGTGGCGAGACGAGTTTGAGTGCTGAAGGTGAAGGCACTCAACTGATGACTAGATTTATAACACTTGGCCCATTTGCGGAGGTCCCATCTGGGTAGGTTTATGAACGGCATCGGTTCTGAAGTCTAAAACTTAGTGTTATATTGAATTAGAGTCTACCTTGCACATCCACGGTTAAGGTTAAACGCAGAAATTTCGACCAAGTCACTTGCAAAGTCTGCCTGATTCAAACCATACGCATTTCAGTTGTTAACTCATTGAGACAAGTTATCACTTAATTTATTAAGTTATTATTACTATTGTTATGCCATATTATATAGGCAACAAATACTAATGTATATGAAAATGTTATCGTGTAAACCAGACAATGTTAAATGGCTTCTTTTTTTATTTATAAGTGTATACGTCTAATTATCCTGTCGACTCTTGGATAAGACATAATAATAATAATAATAATGAGCTTTGTTAATTCGTACAGTCGCTCTCTAATAATCGCTAAGGTACAGGGTCTAGATATTTTTCGATGGTTTTTTGCAGCATGCACTTAGAAAAAGCTAAAATAACATAAACCAAAAATCAAGTTGTGATAAATGTTCGATATAATGATGTGTGGTTATTAAAAAAATATCCCTAAATTGAAGATATATAAGAGGTTCTTGTTTGAGGAGCCGTACATAAGCAATATTTTAGATTCAAGTCTGAGCTTCAAAGGCTTGAGACGTACGGAGCTTCGGTCCTTATAAATATATATTTGTATAATTTGAATAGGAAAGCTTGAAATGTAAAATATTACATACACAAAGGTGGAGTAGCTCTTCTATTGGCGTTACATTTAGAGATAGAGGCCGTTTAAACAATACGATGCTTTTTGAGCTGCATCATTAAGCAGGTATACGATGTTGATTTTGATCTGAGATTACTGATCATATTGAGATAAATTCTAATGTTTTTATTTCAGGTAAGTCCTAACATAATAGAAACGCCGAACAACTCAGTTCAGAGGCACTTTCGAGATAAGGAGAATACCGTACGTACGAAAATAATGGTAATACCATTAAAAGTTCGTATTGAGTTAATGTATGTTACATGTACTCCAGTAACGAACCGGGTCAAAAACAACATTATTAACCGGTGTGGGAATTTGTTCGTTATTTTTTATTTATTTTTGAAAAAATAAGAATAGACATATTGCCTACGGCCGCTATCTTGTGATAGGGATGCTGTCTCAGCCGTTTCAAGCGAATCCTTTGTCCTACAGTAATTTCTCATTGTTACACGGCGGATGAAGCTTAAGTACGATCTTTCAAACGTACGCTTAGTACTATATTGCTGTTAATTATGCCTTTCTTAGGATAGTAAGTTTGACCCTAACCTATGGAATGTGTATGAGGTGGCCGAGGTATGCGAATGCTGTTGATCACACGTATATAGTTATATTATGTAGTATGCATTGAGCGATACGATTATACCTCAACGATCGTCAAACAGTTCGTTCGGAGTTACGGGTTGCAAAATATATAGTCCAATAACAAACGCTCATTCAAGTATACATTGACTATAGAATTCTGTCAAGCTATGATAGTATGCGTCCTTGCACGGTCATCCTTTTACTGGCCACTTCGAACTGCTTCTCAGCTCCCGTCTGAGGCTCTGACCTTCATTGAACCTCATCGCGCCGTGAAAAGTGTCGCCACCGGCTGATTCGGCCTATAAGAAGCAACAAACGTGACAGTGCCAATTGTCCTTCTGTTCATCATCATCTCCTTCGCCTGCGCTCTTCGCCACGAAACTCCCAGAGCCTTTGTGCTCATGTCTATGAGCTTCACTGGTTCATTCACTCGTTAGCTGTTGTTCTGTTACTGTTGGACCCGTGTCATTGTACTTTGTCAGCTGTTGACGAAAGGCAAATGCTAAAGGGCCTTTTTTGCTCGCTCCGGCCACGATCGTTCAGCTTTGTCTCGAAAGTGGGTTGAGTCCTTTTTACGCATTTAATTTCATTTGCTGCGGTTGAAACTTCTGTTGCTGCTGCATTCACAGCAACGTCTGATGGGCAGCCAGTTCGGTCCTGCATTTTCCAGTAGCGAACAAATGAGAACGTTGAACGATCACCGTCAGCTAAGTTACTTTCATCAGATAACTACCGCGTTCTCCGTGTACTATACGTAGATCTCCGCCCCCTCTTGCTTGTCCAAGACTGATCACAACCGGTACCGGCGCCGCCGTTACGCAAGGGCATACAGCAGACAGAAAATGGCAAAACAAACCATACATATATATATATATATATATATATTGCATTTACTGTCTGTAGTGTCATCCGATATGTGAATAGCTGAGGATTGATAGATAGGATAGAGACGAGCATTAACGGAGTCGGCTTGAAGCTTTGGTGGGTAACGTTGCTTGACTAACTAAGGGGGTGGTAGTAGAGGGTATGGTTCGGTAACAAGTTCTTTCGTTTTCAAAATAGACGCCGTTGCTACCTGTTGTCTGTTGGCCCATTGTTGACAATGTCTAATCTATGTCGATCGATGCAGTGCCTGGTGGCCGTTGGGCATCGTTTTGTCCGCCAAAATAATAGGACAGTGTATTCCAGCGTTGTCCACGCTTCTATATCGACATGAAGATTATATTTGAAGCTGCGCCAGCTCTCATGCTGTGCTCGGGAGCTTGACATCGGCCTATCCCTACAAGGCGCTGTGTCGTTATCATTGGCGCAAGCATTAATAACAGCGTGTGAGCGGTAGATCTATTCATTTGGCTGAGGACACTTAGTGTAACGGCTGTAGCAAGCATCGTCAATCAGTACATTTCTTAACCGGCCAATCAAAGAACGCCTCCCTTCGCTAGCTGCCACGATGTCCTGTCGTAAGCGTGTGAAGCCGAAGGATGGCACGCAAATATAGCAACGAACGGCGCAACAGAACCGCGACAGCTTTGACTAACTGCAAAAAACAATTTCATCATGGAACTTGTGTCAAGTAAAATCGTTCAGATATATCAATTTTGACCTAAACTTCTTAGCGAAATAACGCTTCTTATAACTTAATGATTAGAAAAAGCCTGCTCCTCTAGATTTGCTTTTGCTCAAGAATAGACCAAACTCACCCCTAATGCGGGTAAGAGGTACATTGATAGGGCGCGCAGCCCAACTCAACATCTCACAGACAAACAGGTAACGAATTTGAATTTTAGAAGAAGAACCTTATATGGTCGTCGTGTTGTAAGTAAGTTGACGTTTGTTTATCAACATAAACTACTCGTCATTATCAACGCTAAATTTCGTAGTTGCTATTTAGCATACAGCATTACAGGCCATGTAATACTTCAACTAATATTGCATGTACGTTATATTTAAGTCCATGACATTAAACGAAGGGCGTCTAAGCTATATGGTTGATCTGTGACTCCGTCGTCTAAAACGGGCCATTAGGACCAGAAAACAGCTCAACACTCGTTCTGATCGGAGGTTCACAATAGCGTAATCACATCACATGGTAAAAATGAAAGTTCCGCATGCGTGTGCTTGTGCACATACTCGGCTGAGCTTGCTAATGCATAAGTCCTAATGTAGACCAATCGCTCCCATACGATATCCCATTGTAAACCTTTTAATAAAAATCATACGGAATCATATGTTTGGTACGTCGGTATATGAAAAGCCATATTGTAATCCCGTAGTTTTATAACCCCCTCTTTGTTTCGTGTTGTCCGCCAGACTAATCAATCGATATACATGATCGTATTGATTCACAATAGAGCAATATTACTTTTTATTAGTAGACGTAGAGTGGTTTTTGCAGCTTACTGTTGCAACCGTAGATATCGGACGATATCTGTACATCGAAAATGCGGTAATAAGCACTCGCAATAAAGTTAACAATTATACTTTGTATTTCATTTACCGATGATTTGTCCTTCAATTTAACTACGGCACAAATATATTACGCTTCAAGTTTGTTGCTAAGTGCCCGCATTCGTTGTGACTACTGCTATTTCTGCTGTCGCATGCTCGACAGCTGGCGTCTTGCGTACACCTGCTCACGGCAGTGATCAGTATGCCCTTCAAGTATTAGCTCTCATACGTGCGCCTTGTTCTTTCCGTTCGTGTACGGGCCTATTTTCCGCCAGTTAAGGTCATTTCCGTTTGCGTATGATGATGATGTTGCTCGTTTGTTATTGTGCCGCTTCTCTGCGTTTCCTTCGGCGACTTGTTGTCGCTGTTGAAAGTTCTCTTGTTGTTGCTGCATCAGCCAGCTTTGTCGTTGAGCATTTGCTTCAACTTCAGCGGTTGTTGCCTCTGCTTTAGTCGGCAGCCTCCCTTCTCGCCTAATAATAGTGGCAGGCTGTCCATCACATCAGCGTTCGGCGACGAAGCTGCCAAGAGCCGGTGACGTTACTACAGCTCATAGCAGCGATTGAACCTTCCTGTCCCTCGTGTCTCTCCTTCACCGCGACCGCCGTCGCCGCTGCCTCTGCCGCGGGATTCTGACACTACGGGACGTTTCTTCATCGTCGCCGTCGTCTGCTTGATTGTCTGGCTGGCTGGCTAGCGCTGTGACCAGCGTCAGAGTTACGACCACTATCAGTTCGTCTAACCATTTTTCAGCAGTGGCAGGAGCCGGTCAGACCACAACAATCGCAGTTCACCACTCACCCCACAAGTGCCCCTGCCATCGCACACTCAGATGGCTACAGGTCGCGCGCAGTCATCAGTCGACAGCCTGCAGTGGGTAAAGGCGTCAACGTGATCCAGAGCTATCTATAGGCCAGGCTGTTTGGATGCTATAGTACTCTACGAGGGGTACTGAGGACGTGAGTGACACAAAAAGTTGTTGAACTTCTCACCCGACATCGTTTAGCCTAAACCGGCGCGCAATATATTGTGTCGGATTCTCTGCACTAGAATAGTTCTTGATTCTCTAACTTCATCGCGCATATATAATCATTTAGTGCGGTTCTGCTTTCACGTCAGTCGGTTAGCTATTAGTTGGGTGTCGTCTTCTACGAGATCTTCCAGCGAACGTTTCCATTTTTTGCCTCCGTAAAAGCGAACGGTGTGTCTTGTCTAACTAACAACAGTGAGTGGGTTTA